GAGCCTCGCGAATGTCCGCCATGCCCGCCGCCAGGTCCGCCACATCTCGGCCCAACGTCTCGTTCTGTAGGGTTAGGGCTTCGATCGCCGCGTCTCTGCGGTCGTCTGCGGGGTCGTTCCTCTTGGGCGGCATCTCGGATCGTAGCTAACTCTGAGTACCAACTGATGTAGCGCAGCAATTAAACGAAAGGGAAGAAGATGAGAAAACTCAATCGATAAATTTTATTCATAAAAGTCTGTCTCTCTTGAAAGAAGAGACAATATATATAGAGTCCCAACAAGCCTAAAAATCCTAACTTACCTTAATAAATAAATTCCATATAACATGGATTATTCCATTCTTAACTAGGAAAAGGAAATAAAATATAATAATAAAAATAGATAGAAAATAAATAATTAAACTAAGGATGGCAAACGATCATATTTCTCCATAAATGCCATTGCGATCTCGTCTCCATCACTATATTAGTTGACTTCAATGAAAAATAACTATCCATTTCATTTTTATGCAATAAATATAGTGATGAAGTTGAATACTTTTACAATGTTCATTTTTACCAATGTCAAAATTCTAAAATGTAATACTATTATTTAACTTATAATTTTATTATTATACATATACACATATCTTATAATGATTTAAACATATGTGAATATATAGAAGATCGAATACTAGTTTGATAATTAAAACTATTATTTTATATAAATAACTTATGGGTATCCAAGTTTGTAAACCTCATCGAAAACACCATATCCTATAGAACATAACAAGACATTTAATTAATATAAGAATCTAACTAGATTTATTCTACAAATAGATTTGAGATGAAGTTTCTTAAAAGAGAAATGTTATATCTACATAATATTATACATAGAGGTGTATATAATACTCATATTGAATGAGATCGACCAAAAATTAAAAATCAAATAAATCCTACATCATGTGAGTGTTATGTACACATCGATACATTCAACATGTAGCATTTTTCTTCTTATAACGAGTAGAACATCATTGCACATTACATTGCTTGAGACATTCAATATAAATCTTCATGTTATAAAAGTTTAACCTTTTTTTTTTTTTTTTTTGAAGACGCAATGTACCTTACCCCGTTAAACAAGCCACGGGTACCCTACATACATGATTTGGAAGATACTCAAGTCAACCATTGACGCCATTTGGAACTTTTATTTTTCTGGTCCTTTATTCTTTTGCCTTACATTTTTTTTTTTTTTTAAATAGATTTTTCTGGTCAAAGTCACTCTCACTTCAAAATTGACTTTTTTCTTCAAAATGTCATTAGAATATTTTTGAACATCCAAAGAAACAAATTAATCTAAATTACCATCCATCCTTGTCCAATTTTTCCTTTTATTGGTGATTACATTTTTTAATGATAAATTTTAAAATTGTACCATTTTAAAACAAAAATATATACACGTTTTAAAATAATATGACTATATAAATTCTTGGCTGATTAAAAAGACCCACCTAGACAGTCTTTTAACTCATTCTTCCATTTTTTCAGCAGTTGACTGCTTGTATTCAACTGATTGCGTTATAAAATTTGTACCAAAAAATAAAAAATAAAAGACCCACCTATAATAATAATTGCATTGCTAAAATTTATATTTTTTTTTTCCCTTATTCGTCATAATAAATGGTGGGACCTAAGAAAGCCTACCCACATTAAATTAATTGGATTAAAAGCCCTTTCTTTTTCTTTATTGCTACCAGAACGTATGAGTGCATCTATGGACCCAAAAAAAAGCTTATTTAGCTTCACTTTACCAACTTCATTTGTTGCGCTACACACACAATTTCACACATACAACGAGCCCCCTTCTCAACCCTCCGCCGCCGCCCTTGTCCGCTAGCGTTTTCTGTACTTTCTTTCCAACTGCGGACAAAAGTGTGAACCTTCGGCGGTGTTTTTTTGTATCTTTTTCCTTGGACCATTCCCAAATCTGAGTAGAATATTCGGATTCTTGGAGGACTAGGTGAAAAGGGTTCTCTCTGAAATATCATATTTTTTCTTTTTTTTTTTGCCATTCATTTGTTTTATGTTGCTTGTTTATTTTCGCCGCTTTTTGTTTTGATTTATTTAGTAAAAAAGAAAGCTTTTTTTGCAAATACCCATTTGCTGTAAAGTTGATTTTTTTTTTTTTTTTTTTTTCCTGGTTTGTTTAGAGCAAGGAGAAAAAAGAGAACTAGAGAAGTTGACCTACCCCTAGAAAGAGAGAGACAGAGAGAGAGGAGGGAGAGGGGTTGTGTGTGCCAATTGAGGGGAGAAGTGCAGTTCTGAAGTAATAAAGTGATGGTGAGAAAGCATGGTTGGCAGTTGCCTGCACACACCTTTCAGGTTTTGTTTCAGCCCAATATTCTTCTTTTTTCTCTATTTTTTCTTGTTCTGCCTACTTTATGTTAGTCAGCTGCCTAATTGAACTGCTGATGTGGTTTGTGAACTGAAGTTTGTTCTGAGTTGTTTGGAGGTGTGTGGGTGGCTTGGGGGTGGATGTTTTGTGATATCTGTATTAGCAGTTTTTTTGGGGGGGTTTGATTGGTAGTTTAATTGGTCTTTCAGTTCAGTTTATATGATCTTTGCTTAGTTAATGTCTGCTGTAAACATCAATTTGCATAACATAACCAGACACGAGGTATGCCCTCAACAAATCGTGCAACCTTGTATGATTGTTTGTTCCTTGATTTATATAGTGAAAATAATTTAGTTTCTAAGGTAACTTACTAGATGGCTTTCTTTATATGACTGTTTGGTCTGATTGATGATGTGCCTGTTTATAGTCATTTGTTAAGATCCACATTGGATTTTCATATTTCACAGGTTGTTGCCATCACGGTATTCTGCTTGCTGGTGGTAGCATTTTATGCCTTCTTTGCCCCTTTTCTTGGAGGTAGAATATGGGAGTATGTTCTGATTGGTGCCTATTCACCAGTGGTATGTGAATTTATCTGCACAGCTCACTTTTTGATGTATATGTTTACAGTGTTTTGGCATTTATTGGAGTAGACAGTTAACTGTGCCCCCTTAAACATGTCTATGATTTATTTATTTAGTTAAGTAGATTTGTTTCCCCGGTAGCTTAAATTCAGTGTCGTGCTATGAAAAACCTCTTCGTTCTTTTGGAGAGCAGCCAGATGAAACAAAAGTAGGATTCTTGGTATTTGGAAATATTAAGATATTTCCTTTTAAATAACTAAGGACTATTTTTTCCAAAATTCCTTCCAAAATTGGCATGTCACACCATGATAGAATTACGCTATTCAAACTTTTAAACTTAATCTTGCTTCAAATTCCTTCCAGATTTGGTTCTTCAGGCGAATATCTTCTTTAGATGTCTCAAGTTAATTCAAGTTTTAATTGACACTGTTATGAATTATGATTATTGAAATCGCATTTCTTGATTAGAGTATCTATTCAATTTGCAGGCACTGTTGGTTTTCATTCTTTATGTCCGGTCCACTGCAATTAATCCTGCTGACCCTGGTATCATGTTTAAATTTGATCCCGATTTAATGCACGAGACTAATGAAAAGCACGGATTAAGTGCCGCTGGTCAGACCACAAAATATGATGGAGTCAGCATTGGGACTCATTCATGTGCATCTTCACCTTCCCGAAGCTCCTTTGCAGGAGCTAACTCTGGCAGGAAAGGTTCGGTTGAGTCTTTAAAGTCCAATGCGCAAGTCCAATCTCCAAAAAGGAGCTCCACTTGCTGTTTTCTTGGAGGAATATTCTGTGCTATATTTGTTCTTGAAGATTGCCGCAAACAAGACGGGGCAGATGATCAAGAAGGTACGGGTGAGGATGCATTGTTTTGCACGCTATGCAATGCAGAGGTATGTGCTTTTTTTTTTTACCATGACTCACATATGTTTTATGCCATTTTTAAAATTTCTGTTAAACCTCGTTTTATCCCTGGATCAAAATACTCACCACACATTTATTATAATGTTGTCGTAATGAATGCTACCATTTTGCGGATAATGCTTTACTGGTACCGATAGTGAAGTTTTATTTTTCTATATTTTGCTGTGTTACTGTTTTGTGCTTTTGCATTTGTTGATTACTTGATTAAAACACTTGCTTCTTTTGTAGGTTCGCAAGTTCAGCAAACATTGTCGAAGTTGTGACAAGTGTGTGGATGGATTTGATCACCATTGTCGTGTACATCTCTGGAGTCAACTATTAAAAAATCTCCATGCAGTATCTTTAATATTTTCCAAGGGAGAATTTACTTACCCTTTTCTATTATCATATTTTGGAATAACTTCTACATTCTTTTCTTCATAGTGGCTAAATAACTGTGTGGGTCGGAAGAACTATGTAACGTTCATCTCACTTATGGCCGTGAGTTTAGTATGGGTAAGTTCTATTTGCAGTTATTGGCTTAAGACCTTAACATGTAGTATTATTTATCTCTCGTTATATATTTCCCCAGCTCGTACTTGAAGCTGGAGTTGGTATTGGTGTTCTGGTTCGTTGCTTTGTCAATAAGAGTCATATGGAAGCTGAAATAGTCGATAAGCTTGGAAATGGTTTCACTCGTGCCCCATTTGCGACTGTTGTGGTAATTTTGCTCCTGACTATTGTAATTTCATTGCTGATAATACTTTAAGTGAGTGAGCTATATAGTATGTAATAATAAATTATAACTAATATACAAATGTCCTTTTCGTTTTTCAGGCTTTATGTACAGCGGTCTCTGTGTTGGCCTGCGTTCCATTAGGGGAGCTTTTCTTTTTCCACATGATATTAATTAGAAAGGTTGGTTGGTATCTGCAAGGAGAACAAATTACAATACGTCTCATGCTCTGTATGTTATCACCTACTGATATGTATGATAACTAATAAATCAACACCAGTGTTCTGTATTTCATGTTTTATTGTGTAAATTAACCTTTTTGACACAAGGGCTGCTGAAAGTCGATGGAAATTCCAAGTCAGAGTATGACTTCTCAAGTCAATGAAATTTTTCAAAATTGGCTTAACGAAGTTAGTCTCAATCATCTTTTTTCTTTGGTCAAAACAATTCTGAATTCTGAATAGTAAGAATAATTGATTCTATCTTAATTTGATGGGGTCGATTTTCTCGCAGCTATGTGTAACAGTGTTAAGTGAATTCAATCTATCTAGATTATGAAACAAAGGGCATTTGCACCGATAGACCGAATCTCACACACACATATCAATACACATAGATGCCTTTTATATTTTTATTTATACTTTACAGTATATTCTAAAAGATTAGAAGGATAAACTTGGCTTGGTGATTTTTCATACACATGTTCGTCGATGTATGAGTTGAAATCTTGGCTTTGCTGCTTTTTCCTCAATGTTTAGGGCATTACAACTTATGAATATGTTGTGGCAATGCGAGCCATTAGTGAAGCACCGGCTGGAGCATCAGTAGATGAGGAACTCCCAAATATCTTATATTCTCCATCTGGATCTGCCACTACTGGTTTTAGCGGTGGTAGCTCTTTGGGACTTCAATACAAAGGAGCATGGTGCACCCCACCTAGAGTCTTCGTAGATTACCAGGTAAATATAAGGTCTGCCTGAGCATTTATATAAACCGAACATTTAAAAAAAAAAAAAAAGTTTATGCTAATTCTTACGTTTTTCAATCATTTGTATAATATTTTATCAGGAAGAAGTTGCTCCGCAGCTGGGTCCCGGTATGGTTCCATCAACAGTCGACCCGGATGCTAACGATATTAATAAGGGTAAAAAGGGACCGAAAAAGGGCGTCAAAATCAGTGCTTGGAAGCTCGCCAAGCTGGATTCGAACGAGGCCATGAGAGCCGCAGCCAAAGCCAGAGCCTCATCCTCTGTTCTGCGCCCGCTCGAAAATCGGCGTGGGCCCGACTCCGAACTCAGCTCTAGCGAGAACGCAAGCATTCGCAGTAGCATGAGTGCTGACACAGCTGGAGTAAATAACAACAGTAATAAAGACTCACACTTGAGAAAAGACTCTTATGCCCCCAGCCAGAGCCAAGCCAGCCGGGACGAGTACGAGACAGGCACCCAGAGTGCAAGCAGCTTCAGCAGCCCGGCCCATGGTCACGAGTCGGTCACACTCAGCCCGCTCCCCCAGCCTCGTGACTCGAACCAACAGCTGAATAGTAGCTTGGTTTTGGGGTTCAGAAACAGACCGGGGATCGAGCAGAGGAATAATAGCATTGCAGATCCACTTCTGCTCGTGGGCCCCACTGTTCAGGCGGCCTCGTTAATTAGGGACGTGAAGAGAACATCGGTCGTTTGGGATCAGGAAGCCGGGCGGTACGTGTCGGTTCCAGTGACTGCTGCCGAGGCTCGTAAAAAGACGATTTTACCCTCCACGGGCAATCAAGATGGTGGTGGTAATAATAAGGCTTCTTCTGGGGCGAAACAGTCGGATAAACTGATGTACACTGGGGAGTCGATTTTTTTTGGGGGCCCGCTTTTGGGTGGCCCAATGAAAGATGGGCCGAGAAGTGAAGGGGCGTCTAGCTCGAGAGAAGGGATGGATAGGTACTCGATAGGTTTGCCGAGGGAATCGAGGTTTAAGAGGGACTCTGTCTCGAACCAGCTTCCGATTTTTGTTCCTGGGAATTTCGACTCGAATCTTCCTTCCGTATCAGGCATGAAGTAATAATTGCAAAGAAGTCCACGGTTGTTTTTTAGAACTACAAGTGCGCCCCTTGAGATTCGTCTGAGAGGGAAAAAAAACGCGATTTTTTTCTGATCATTAGTCTGTACCTCAAGGATATTTTGTTATGATCAACCCTTAATCATTTTGAGCCGGTTGTGGAAAAAAGAAGAAGAAGAAAAAAAAAAAAAAACTTCATA